TGGAACACTACAACAAGCCTGAGATGGAGATGTTAGCCAGGGAACCGGATGGCGTGTTCAAGTGGCAGACACCGGAAGCTCGTTCTTTTTTGTGGGCAGAACCTGGATGTTCTGCGAAGTGGTCACCCAGTTTATGCTTCATTTCCCCAATGTAGAGCAGGTCATATTGTGAGCAATGAATGCAGTAAACTAGATTGTGGGGAGTGCAGGTGAAGTGTGTCTTTGGGGAGGTGTTGGGAATGAAAGAAGAGTGGACCAGGGTGTCCTGGAGGGAACGGTCCCTGTGGAAGACGGACAAGGGAAGGGAGGGGAAGGGGAAGGGAATATGTGTCTGGCGGTGGCATCTCGCTGGAGGTGGTGGAAATGGTGGCTGATGATCTTCTGGATGTGGATGCTGGTGGGATGGTAGGTAAAGACAAGGGGGAACCCTATCGCAATTGCAAGAGGGAAGAGAGAGGGTGAGGGCGGAAGTGCGGGAGATGCATCGGCCCCAGTTGAGGGCCTGTCGACAACGGTGCCAGTGAATCCTCTGTTGAGGAAGAAGCTGGATGATGTTTCAGAGGCTCCCTTGTTGAAGTTTGCCTCATCGGATCAAATGCGACGGAGACCAAGGAGCTAAGAGAATGGAATGGAGTCTTTACAGGAAGCAGAGTGTGAGGATGTATAGGTCTAGGTAGCTCTGGGAGTCGGTGGATTTATAATGGATATTAATGGCTAGTCTATCCCCAGAAATGGAAAGAGATATTGAGGAACGGAAGGGAGGAGTCAGAGATAAACCAGGTGAAAGTGTGAGCAGGGTGGAAATTGGAAGCGAAATCGATGAACGTTCCGAATTTTGGACAAGAGAGGGAAGCAGCACCAATGATATCATCGATATGTCAGAGAAAGAGTTGTATAGGAATAGGACTAAAGCAACAAGTGTTCTGTGTACCCCACGAAGAGACAGGCACAACTGCGGCCCTTGCGGGTACCTATGACCACCCCTCTGACCTGAAGAAAATGAGAGGAGTTAAAAGAGAAATTGTTGAGGGTGAGGACGAACTTGGCCAAGTGATGGGTGGGGACGGTTCAGGTCTTTGCTCCAGGAAGAAGCAGAGAGCCCTAGGATCCTCCTGGCGGGGAATGGACGTGTAAAGGGATTGCACGTCTGTGGTAAAGAGGAGGCGGCTGGAGCCTGCAAACTGAACATTTTGATTACAATTGCACTTTTGGTTTAGATATATAATATTACCATCCCTTTCACAGTAATTTTCTTCCTACCCACCTGTTGATACACATGAGTTTTTCAGCCTTATTGAGTAACCAAGTAAGGTTATTTCACAGAGAATGTACATTTGGCACATAATCAAGAATTAATTTTGGTACCAGGTGGAGTACTGGAGTAAACAGCTAAGCTATTGTGATAAGTATAAAGCACAGCTTTGACCAGGATCCCAGTCCATATCTGGCAGATGGTGATTTGTTCTCCATTAGAATTGCAGCTGAATTTTGGACCCTCCAAGCCAATTTTTTTTATCATTATTATATTTGTTTATTTATTACTGACGTATATATTATTTCCCCCAGCCAATTTTTAATATATGCATTCATTTATTTATTTATCTACTTATTATCAATTTTATATGTTCTTTATTTTCTTTCATCCATTCATGGAATTTGGTGTTGCTGGCTGGGCCAGCATTTATTGTCTATTCCTAAATGCACTTGAGAAGGTGGTGATGAGCTGCCCCCTTTTGATGCTGCAGTCCATTTGCTGTAGTTAGACTGCAATGCCAATAGGGAGGGAGTTCCAGGATTTTGACCCAGAGACCATGAAAAAGCAGCGATATATTTCCTAGTCAGGAAGCTTACTGACTTGAAGGAGAACATGCAGGTGGTGGTGTCCCCATGCTTCTTCCAAGTGTTATAGGTTTGAAAGTTGCTGTCCAAGAAGCCTTGGAGAATTTCTGTGATGCATCTTGTAGATGGTGCATTTTGCTGCTACTATGCAATGGTGGTGGAGGGAGTGATTGTTTGTGAATGTAATGATAGTCTGGTGGGGTGCTTTGTCCTGGATGGAGTCCAACTTGCATGTTGTTGGAAGTGCAATCATCCAGGCAAGTGAGGAATGGTCAGTCACACTTCTGACTTGTCTTATAGGTGGGCAGACTTTATGGAGCTGAGACTCACGGCAAGACTCCTCGCCTCTGACTTGCTCTTGTAGCCACAGTGCTTATATCTTGTTAGTTCAATGTTTGGTCAATGTTAGCCTCCAGGATGTTAATAGTGGGGGGATTCAGTGTTGACAATGCTATTGAATGTCAAGAGGTGATGGTTAGTTCTCTTTGGATATGATCATTGCCTGGTATTTGTGGCGCAAATGTTACCTGCCACTTATCTGCCCAAAACTGGATATTGCCCATGTCTTTCTGCTTTTGGAAATGGACAGCTTCAATATCTGAGGAGTCAGAAATAGTGATGAAAATTGTGCAGTCATGGTGAACATTCCTGCTTTGACCTTATGATGGAGGAAATAGTGAAGATGGTTTGGGAAAGATCACTACCTAGAGGAGCTCCTGCAACATTGTCCTGGAGCGGAGATGATTGCTCTAGTAGCCACAACCATCTTCCTTTGTGCCAGCTATGACTCACAAGTGGGGAGTTTTCTCCCTGATTCTCATTGATTCAAGTTCTGCTGGAGCTCCATGGTGCCACACTTGGTCAAAGTAGCCTTGATATTAAGGGTAGTCACTCTAGCCCCACATCTGAATTTCAGCTCGTTGTCCATTGCTGACCAAGAGCTTAGGAGCTGAGTGGCCCTGGTGGAACCCAAACTGAGCATCAAAGAGCAGGTTATTGCTAAGCCGGTCCTGTTTGGTAGCACTGTTGATGAAGCCTTCCTTCACTTTATTAATGATTGAAAATAGGATGATGCGTCAGTAATTAGTCAGGTTCAATTTGATCTTTGTGTACAGGACATAGCTGGGAAAAATTTCAACATTATTGGCTAGAGCCAGTTTCTAATAGTTTCATTTCAACAATTATAATTGATTATCTGAATTTGGAATCTATTTATTTGTAATGATAGTCATTTTTATACTTTGTCAATCTGGCCCTGAAAGATAGGTAATTTGGAGAACTCTGTATACTTTTAAAACTTTAACTTTTGTAATGACTGTGAATAGTGGGGCTCGATTTCTGGCAGACTGCGCTAGTGTGGTTTAACATGAAACGGAACCCTCTGAATTCACAGACTTTAATGATGCTTTCAGACAGTTCCAGACATAGAGAGGCATTGACTATTAGAATCTCTTTCCTAGGAAATTCCCATGGAGTCTGCTGTACTCGAATTCCACGTGATGCTGATGAGCAAATGTAGATTGGTCAGATTGTCAGCAGAGCAGCACAATATTCCAATGAGTTTGATTTATTGTTGTCAAGTCCCGCGATAGAGTGAGAAGTATTGTTTTGCATGCTATACATGCAGATCGTACCATACAAAGTGCATCAGGGTAGCAGAACAGAATGCAGTGTTCGGCACAGAGGATGCAAGGAGAGAGATCAGAATTAATATTTGAGAGGTCCGTTCAAAAGTCTGATAGCAGTGGGGAGGAAGCTGTTCTTGAATCCGTTCGTACGTGCATTCAAACTTTTATATTTTCTACCTACCGGAAGAAGGTGGGAGAGAGTATAACTGGGTGGGAGGAGTCTTTTGATGATGTTGGTTGCTTTTTTCTGAGGTAGCGGGAAGTGTAGATGGAGTCAGTGGATGAAAAGCAGGTCTGTGTGATAGATTGTGACGCTGAGCTAGTCATTCTTTTTTACCCAATAATCTATATATGGATTTTTTGTTATTTATTGTATCTGTACCTGGCTATTGTACACACAACAGTGAAACCTGCTGCAGTTCAAGTTGTCTGTCAAGTTTGAAACCTGTGAATGGACTTGTGAATGTGAATGCATTGGAAGCAATTCACCAGGCTAATGATGATCAGGTTGTATCAAAAGGAAAATTTGGACAGACAGAGCATGGAGTTCAGAAGAGTGAGATTGACTTGATTTTGAAAAATGAACACATTTACCATTGGTTCACTCATGTCCTTTAGGGCAGGAAACTACCATCCTTACCTGGTCTGACCTACATGTGACTCCAGACCCACAGCAATGTGGTTAACTCATAACTGCCCTCTGGGCAATTAGGTAGGGGCAACAAATACTGGCCTAGTCAGCAACATCCTCATCCCATGAATGATTAAAGAAACAAAAACAGGGTGGATGTGGAGAGGATGTCTCCTTTTATGGGAGAATCTGGAACCTGGGATAATTGTTTAAATCAGGACTCCCTTATTTAAAACAGACTAGGCAAGCTTATTTCTCTGAGGTTTGAGCATCTTTGTAACTCTCCTCCCTGAAAAGGTAGTGGAAGCAGAGTCCTTAAATATACTTAAGGCAAATTTAAATAGATTTAAGCAAGCAGGTGAAAGGTTATCAGGCTAGGCCAGAATGAGATTTGATGTTATGATCAGGTCAGCCATGATCTTATTGAATGGTGGAGCAGGATTGGGGGTTGGATGTCCTGTTCCTGCTCTTCGTTCATATGTTCATGTGAAATGAAGTGTCGTTGATCAAATTGTAAACCTTTTGTTTTTTACGTGACAGATGTGTGGTTGGATAAGTTATAAAACTAGTTCTGGTTTAGTGCGTGGTTGAGCTCTTTTTGTATTTGAATTTGTATTTATCGATACTATTAATTTCATGTGATGCACCATGTTCTTCAGTTAGGACATGATATGAAATGCATTTTTATTCAATATAACATTTTGTGACTGAAATATATTTAAAAACTGGTAGAAATAATTGACAGATTTAAAGAAATTAATGTCATGCATCTTCACCCTCAGAGAAAGCATAGGATACTTTATATTTTTCATGTTTATAGAACAGTGTTTGCATGTGTTTTTCTTTTGATAGTTCTGAAGAGAAATTTTGCTTAGGCTAAATTGTTTCCTTTTCTCTTTTAGATTATATTCGACAAAGCTATGGACTTAATACGGAGTTTGTCACACTTAGTGACTACAATAAATTGGTTCTTTCCCTTATGTCTGGACTCCCTAATGAAGTGGATTTTGCAATTAATGTTTGCACTCTTCTCTCAAATGGGAATAAGCACATCATGCAACTTGAAAAGGACCCCAGAATCACCACCGTTTTACTTGCGCATGCTGGAGTTTTTGATGACAGTAAGTTATACTGCTAAATGTTAATCTATGTTGACAATATTTGCCAAGTTATTAACTGTTTCACTTTCAGCTACCGAACTTTAAATATTTTAGTTGACAATCAAAAGGTAGAGATCAGGTTATCCAAGTTCAGAATTTGTACTTCTGGGCTGGAATCAAATAAGTCAAATATTCCAGATTCAAAGTTTGCGAAGTATGCCATTTGATCCACTTAGTGTTCATGCACTCAATGTCTGCAAATATGTGCAAGTCTCGTTCTAAAACAGTTGATCTTTATAATTTACTCTTGTAACCAGCAACACACCTTGTTGGTAGGAAGTCAGAAAAATCACTCCAAGCCAGGTTATTGTGGTAGTTTTTAATGATCACTTTAACTTTTATTATGTTTTTATCAAAATATTGTGAAAATTATTTGTAAGGCCTATCACTGCCACCTTGGGGCAGTTAGAGCTGGAGAATAAATGCTGCTATTATCATGATGCCCACATTTTGGGAATGAACACATCTGTGAATTTTTTGTATCATTTAAATGTTTAGCAATGCTTTATATTTTTGTGTAGGTTACAGTACTGATGCATTCAAAAGCAATGCAAGGAGGTAGCAATATGGACTATTATACCTGAGAGTATAGAATTTTACGGTACAGTTCAGTAGTATAGAATTTTACAGTATGGAAGGAGGCCATTTGGCCCATCTGGTCTGTATCAGACAGTATGTCCAGCGCATTTTTGATATGAAGATTGGTGTTTTTGCGATTGGTGATGGGATCTAAGCTTTCTCATAAACAGGTGGCCACAATTTGTAACTATGGCACTTTAAACTGTTGCTGTCAAACAAAAACATTTACACAACTACTGTAGGCAATAGTCCAGCAAAATCAAAGGAATATTAATTTGCACATAAGCCTAGCTGAGATGCTAAGTGTGTTAGATTTTCTCCAGGATTCAAATGATTGGAAATCTGTTTGTCAGACTACATCAATGAAAATTCCATAAAGTTCTGTTAAATTGTGAAAGCAGTTTTTGGCGAGCAATCAAAGACCATCCATGCAGCCAGGAATCTATTCAGGGTGCATGTCTTTGCAAGAAGACATGGTTTCTTTCCAAACAGGAAGAGCTCCAGGCAGTCTATCACCCATTGGTTTATCTGATATAGCATTAAGTAAACATAGAAAATAGTTGTAGTAGTAAGCCATTCGACCCTTTGGGCCTGCACCACCAAGTAGCTGTCACATATTGAGAACCCCATTCTAAAAGAAGTAAATAACAGTTAATTTGAGTACATTTTGTCTGATGCTTCTGTATTTACAATGTAAAATTACATTGGCAAAAATATGACCAGTTGCAGAACGGATCCAACCACATTTATTTTTGGCAGCTTCTTTCATTACTGCTTTGCTCTTTGTTTTAGTATAATTAACAAATTGGTTTAGTGAGATGTAAAGATATAATTTATATGCTATACATATAACATAGTTGTGTTGATACAAGCATGCTTTTACATTCATTTGAATTGTATGTTCCTTTCAGAAAGTAATTTGTTGTAGATTAGAAATGAGCCTCAAAATACTGACTGCTTTGATGTCTTCTCTAATTCTGATATGGATGAGTTGCATTATGAAGGAGGTTTGGACAGAATTGGCTTGTATCTGCTGGAATTCAGAAGAAGAGTCTTGATTGAAAATTGAGGATCCTAAGTGGTCATTGACGGGGTGCATGTGGGAAGAATGTAAGGTTGTTTCCTGTTGCCATAGAATCTAGAACTTGGGAGTCAGTGCTTAAAAATAAGGGGTTGCTTATTCAGACAGACATGAGAATGTTTTTTGCTCTGAGGGCTGTAAATCCTTAGAATTTTTTTTTCTCAGAAGCCAGTGGAAGTAGAGCCTTTGAATTTCTTTTAAGGCCAAGGTAGACAGATAGCAAGTGGGTGAAAGGTTATCGGAAGATAGACGGGAATGTGGGGCGGGAGGGGCTGTGGATGGTGATGGTGATACTCTGCTTTCAGAAAAGTTTTTTTTGTGTTTTTAGCCTCCAACCTTTAAGGTTTTCACATGAATCTCTTTTTAAAAAAAAAAAAGTAGCTGAAATTTTGAAATAAATGAATAGGTAGGGCATTCTATTCAACTTTTTAAACCTCAATGATTCTTAAGGTAGAATTTTTCTTATTCACCTCTTTACTAAGCTTCTGTCAAGGAACATCTATACTTACCCTTTAGCAGAGATAAGTATCCTAGATTCTTTTACCCCTCTGTCCATTTTGAGGACTGGTACATTTATTTGCCTTTGGAAGTATTACAGACTTAGAAAAATGTAGCAGCTCCACTTTATTTAGTTCAATACTTTCGGATTTACTTTAGGATATCTACTGTTGATTCAAGCATTCGCTTGAATTTTTAATAGAATTAGCAAGTTCAATTTTTGGAATTGCTTTTATTACTTATTTTGTGAACTGATCTGCTTTTGTATGTACAAAATAAATTTACAGCCATGACGGGGGTTTGAAATAAAAACTACAACCGTGCTGATTCTCTATTTAAGTTATAGCTTCCAGTTTTCCACTGGTACCTAAGTGAACACTATCTGATTAGTTACTTTAGACATGACCTACACATTTCTAACCCATATTAGTTTTCTCTAATTAGCTCATATTTTGAGGTTGGTTGGCTCGCCGAGCTGGTTTGTTGTTTCGCAGATGTTTCGTTACCGTGCTTGGTAACATCCTTAGTTGCAGCCTCCGATGAAGCGTCGGGGTGTTTTCCCGCCTGGTTTTTAAACTCTGGGGTCCGTTGAGATGGATTTGCCTCACTTCTGGTTTTCCTTCGTAGTGGAATGTATATGGGGTCAGGTTCAACGTGTTTATTAATAGCATGCTTCATGGAGTGCCATGCTTCTGGGAATTCTCGTGCTTGTCTCTGCCTAGCCCGTCCCAGGATCTTGGTGTTTTCCCAGTTGAAGTCGTGGTTCTCCTTGTCCATGTGGATTGAGATGAGTGAGTATTGGTGATGCAAAGACTGGAAAGGACTGCCCTTCCACAAATCCAACCTAAACTGTGGATATGCTATGTAGACGACACCTTTGTCATCATTAAACGAACCAAATTAGAAGAGACACACAAACTTATAAACAACAGCCTCATCGGAATAAGATTCACCAGAGAGGAGGAGAAGAACAAACAGCTCCCATTCCTGGATGTCATGGTAGAGCGCAAGACAAGTGGGGAACTGCAAACAAAAGTACACCGAAAAGCCACACACACAGACCAGGTACTGAACATCAATAGTAACCATCCCAGCACACACAAACGAAGCTGCATGTGAACATTATTTAAAAGGTCAACAACACACTGCAGCAAAATGGAACTACGCCAAGAGGAGGAGGAATACCTCTTCCAAGTGTATAAGGATAATGGATATCTAAAGAACTGGGTCAGAAGATACCTACACGAACAGCATCAGAGAGATTCTACATGCCCTGACACACTCATCACACTACCCTACGTCAGGAACACGTCGGAACTCAGAGTGGCACGCAAGCCTACGGCAACTGCTCACCCGAACTGAAGACCCACTCCCGGCCATGGACAGGACCAATGTCATCTACAAAATCCCCTGCAGAGACTGTGAGAAACACTACATCGGACAAACAGGAAGGAAACTGACAACAAGACTACATGAACACCAACTGGCTACAAAAAGACACGAACCAATACTCACTCATCTCAATCCACATGGACAAGGAGAACCACGACTTTGACTGGGACAACACCAAGATCCTGGGACAGGCTAGGCAGAGACAAGCGCGAGAATTCCTGGAAGCATGGCACTCCACGAAGCATGCTATTAATAAACACGTTGAACCTGACCCCATATACATTCCACTACGAATGAAAACTGGAAGTGAGGCAAATCCATCTCAACGGACCCCAGAGTTTAAAAACCAGGCAGGAAAACACCCCGACGCTTCATCGGAGGCTGCACTAAGGATGTTACCAAGCACGGTAACGAAACATCTGCGAAACAACAAACTAGCTCGGCGAGCCAACCAACCTCAACACCCACAACCCGAGCTACAGATCTACTCCAAAACCTTAGAGCTCATATTTTCCCAAGTGTTCAGTCATTTTATTTTAATTATAATTTTGAGTAACTTCTCCACAACAGATGCTAGATGAAGAGATCTACACTTTTTTTGTTTTCTCCCTCATCTTGCTTAAACATTCACAAGCTACAGTCTGAAAGGAAAGATCCTGAATTGTGTGTTTTGGGAGATTATGCCTAATACAGAAAATAGACACTCGAGAAGCTATATCCAAATATTTAGCGGCTCGAAAGGTCAGTAACAAGCGCTATACCTTGTTATTGACCATAAAATTGCTGTTTCACTTCTTCTGTCTGACAATTAATTTATATTGTTTTGGTCCCCCTCAATTTACTCCAGATTTAATTATAAATTTACTTTTCTCATTATTTTATCCAATTTTTAGTGTGTGAAGAAAATTTTAAGTAATTGTAGTTCTGTTTTGGAGATTGAATTTTGCTGTATTGCCAAAAGTCGTCTTATGAAGATTTCCAAGCTCTTTACGCATGAATGATGATATGTTTTTTAAAAAACATTTGTGGTAGTCAACATTGCATACATGATAGTTCAGGCATGTTTTGGGTATGATTTCTGAATTTTTCTAGTTAATGTTGCAAGCAGTTCTTGAAAATAAGCAAGGTACTTGCTCATTAATTTCCAATCATTGGCCAAGAAAATATTATCAAAATTGTAATGGTCAAAGCATCACTATTCCATTAGCATAAATCTTACTCACACTTTTGAAAAAGGAGTACTGCTAATTGAAGAATGCACACACACATTTTTCTTAATGATTAGATTTTTGTGGAAAAAATATTAAGCTTGAGAGTTTGCCGTTAATATGCTAAAGCTGCAAACAATTAATGAATTTTTGAAGGCCCGTGTTAAACATTTTGATTATACTAGCTGTATTTTATGCTTATTTATCCTAATATGATTGTTTACAGATTTGGGTACCTTGTCTTCTGTATTTGGTGCAGAATGGAAAGAAAAAACAGGCAGAGATTTTGTTAAGGTAAAAAATATGATAGGTCGTATAGGTGCAATTTGATTTGTAATATTTTGATTCCAGTAACATATGCTATATTAGGTTGATTATAGATGTGCACCGGTCATCCTGAATGTAACTTTACGATTTCTGATTTGATGAATGGTGGCGATTCTTGTTACGTTTCTTGTGTTAACTGTAATCCTTTTGGACTGAAGAAATGACTCTCTACATAGTCATGTTGATTATACCATTCATTTTATTAACCACAATGGGACAATGGGACCAATGGACTGCTCGAGCCTCTCTTGTCATTTCAGTGAAGTTGCGACTGACTGACTGACTGTACCCTAACACCTTTCATCTGCCTTGGCTCTGTATTGAGCCTGAACTAGCAAGGATCTATTGACCTTCCATTTAAAATTTGTTAATTGATTTTAGTGTCTACTGCTTGTGAGAGTGAGTGTCAAACTTACAACTTCCTTTGTGTGAAAATATTTCCTACTTTCTCTCCTGCATGACCTGGCTTATGTTTTATAGTTACAGCGTATAGTCTTATCTTAGACCCCACTAATGGAAAGAAAATTCATTCTATCTTAAAATCCTAGTAACTGCCTTAAGTTGCCCCCTAGCTGCTTTTTAGCATCCCATTACCAGGGAATATAAGCCTATGGAATGTAATACTCCTCATAAATCTAGTCCTCGGTTAGTAACATTATGGTAAATGCATGTTACTCCTTCCAAAGCTACTATTGCCATTCTTATATAATGACTAAAACAGTTCATAGTATTCAAGATATGGTCTAACCAGCGGTTTGTATAGCTATGTAGAAAATTGTCTTCCTTTTTATATTCTAGTTGTCCAGTTCTTAAGGCTGGTGGTCAATTATGTGTTTTTTTTTAAATATGGTAAATGATTAAATACAATATTTTCATTTGCCTTCTGTTATTTTTGGAGCAAGAATTCTGAATTCTCCATATGGTAAATGATTAAATACAATATTTTCATTTGCCTTCTGTTATTTTTGGAGCAAGAATTCTGAATTCTCCAGAGTAATTAAACAATAAGCTGTTTTTCTTTATCCTCTCCTGCATAATGTAAAGGAGAAAAGATTAGAGATCATTGTACTGTTTGGAGAAACCCATTTGTATTGTGCTCAATGATTGAGCAAGACTTTCAACCTGATGCCTCATACAGCCAACATGAAGTAGCTGGAAGATATCAAATTTTGAATTTTATCCAGATTGTGTACTTTCCAGCTCCAAGACTTGTGCAAGGATAGATGAGAGATCACTGGATCTCTCTCAAATGAAAGTGAGGTAAGGTTATTTACTGCCACCTATTTTATTCAACAGGAGTCATTTCAAATTTATCTGTACAACAGATGCTGAGCAAGCATGTAATTAAAGTTGCTATGGTTAGTTGTATACTAAAAGTTGCCAGAATCCTACTGTCTTAGATTTTGTCCTGCTGGTCGAAGCAGATGCCAAAGACCCCGGTCAAAGCCAGCAATGTCTATGTTTAAATAGATCCCAATTATGCAGAAAGGCTTTTAATTATATTTTGGGATTTGGAATATATAGTACAAGAAGCTAGATGTGGGTCAGTTCTCTGAATGTAATTGTTTTATGTACTGGTCAGGAAGCCATTTGAAACAGTGACCAAAGTACATTAATTCCAAGAAAGCATGTGATTGTAGTCCAGTACCTGGCAGAACCCCAAATTGTGTAAATGCGTGGCATGTTTGTACTGCTGAGTTTACAACAGACCACAGAGCTAGTAGTTCTAGTTTTGACTTCCGAACAAGCAGTCAAGATCTTTGTTCAGAAGAATCCAAGTTTCATTCAGAATGGAGATTGATTTTGCCTAATATAAGAATTAAGCTTTTAGTTTAGGGGAACAAGTCACAGTAGCAAAGTATAGTTAATGAAACTTCCAAGCCAGGAGAGATTGGTCAGAAATCTTCCAGTTAAAACTGGAAAACTTTGGCATCAGCGCCATAAAAAGTTCATACCAGTCAACTCGGATAAGAATTGTAAAACTGTCTCTGCAAGTCAAGGAAAAGAAACTTGAAGGAATCAATTAAGTAAAAACGTAAGAGGTGATAAAGGAGTGAAATATCTTTTGGAATTGATTATCTGTAAAAGGATAGCGTAGGGAGGCAGTTTGCAATTTAGTTTTGCTATGACCATTAAGATCTTGATGTAATGCACATGTGTAATGACCTTCCAGCCTATTGAGTCGGCGCTGGTCAAAAGCAACTACCAAACTCTTTAAATCCCACTTTCTAATACTTGGCCCATAGCCATGTATGCCTTGGCATCGCAAGTGTAATTTGAATACTTCTTGAATGTGAGGATGGTTTTTACCTCTCCCACCTTGCAGGCAGAGAGCTTGACATTCCCACAACCCACTGAATGAAAAGTTTTTCTTCACATTCCCTCTAAACCTCCTGCCGTTAGCATAAATCTATGCTCTGGACATTGATTCCTCCACCAAGAGGAAAAGCTCCTTTCCATATTTTGATTTGATTTTAATTTGATCTATTATTGTCACATGTACCTAGGTACAATGAAAAGTTTTTTGTTTTGCGTGCAGTACAGGCAGATCATGCCATAGAAACTGTATTAAGGTAATAGAACAGAGCAAAGGATATAATATTACAGCTGTAGTGAAGGAGCACAAAGAGCGAGATCAATATTAAATTTAAAATTTGAGAGGTCCATTCAGAAGTCTAATAAAAGCAGGAAAGAAGCTGATCATGAATCTGTTGGTATATGTGTTTTAAGTTTTTGTATCTTCCCACTCGAGAACAGAGAAGGGAATCTGTGTGGAGCCAGAAGAGGTAGGTGAGATCCTAAACAAATATTTTATGTAGGTATTCACCGAAGAGAAGAAATTGGTGGTGGGGGAGGTGGGGGAGAGAGTGTTGAGTTTCTAAGCCAGGTTACTGTTAAAAAGGAAGAGATGTTGTGCATCTTAAAAAGTATTAAGGTAAGTAAGCCCCCAAGTCCTAATGGGATCTATCCTAGAATTCTGAGGGAGGCAAGAGAACAAATTGCTGGAGCATTGACAGACATCTTTGTATCTTCTTTGGCCACAGATGAGGTCCCAGAGGACTGGAGAATAGCCAGTGTTGTCCCACTGCTTAAGAACGTTAGCAGGGATAAACCTGAAAATTACAAGCCTGAGAGTCTCCTCAGTGGTAGGGAAATTATTGGGAAAGACTTTTAGGGACAAGATCTATTTGCAATTTGAAGCAAATGGACTTATTAACGATAGACAGTATGGTTTTCTGCAGGGCTAGTCGTGCCTCACTAACTTGAGTTTTTTTTTGAGAAGGTGACAAAGATGGAGGGAAAAGCAGATGATGTTGTCTGCATGGACTTCAATAAAGCCTTTGATAAGGCCCCTCATGGCAGACTGGTCCAAAAGATGATGTCACATGGTATCAGGGGTGAGCTGGCAAGATGAATTCAGAACTGGCTTAGTCCTATGTGACAGAGGGTAGCGGTGGAAGGATGCTTTTCAGAATAGAAGGCTGTGACTAGTGGTGTTCCACAGGGATCAGTGCTGGGACCTCTGCTGTTTGTGATCTACACTAATGATTTGGAGCAAAACGTCGCTGGTCTAATTAGTAAGTTTGCGGATAATGCAAAGAAAGTTGCGGTTAGTGAGGAGGACTGTTTTTTTTTTTTAAAATTCATTTACGGGATGAGGGCATCGGTGGTTAGGCAGCATTTATTGCCCAGAGGGCAGTTGAGAGTCAACCACATTGCTGTGGGTCTGGAGTCACATGTAGACCAGACCATGTAAGGATAGCAGTTTCCTTACCTAAAGGACATTCAGAGAACAGCAGAATACAGATCAGTTGGAGGTGTGAGCAGAAAAATGGCAGATGGAGTTTACCCTGAAAAATATGAGATGGTGCATTTTGGAAGGTCAAGTACAGTTGGAGATTATACGGTGAATGGTAGAACCCTTAGAGTTATTGATATACAGAGGGATCTGGATGTGCAGGCCCACAGATCACTGAAGGTGGCAGTGCAGGTCAATAAGGTAATAAAAAAGGCTCATGGCATGCTTGCTTTCATTGGAAGGGCCCTTGAGTATAAGGATAGACAAGTTATGCTGCAGCTTTATAGAATTTTAGTTATGCCGCACTTGGAATATTGCATTTCGTTCTGGTCACCACACTACCAGAAGGATGTGGATGCTTTGGAAAGGGTACAGAAAAGGATTACCCCAGGATGTTGCCTGGTATGGGGGATTTTAGCAAGAAGAAAGGTTGGATAGACTGAGTTTGTTTTCATTGGAACTCAGGAGGTTGAGGGGCGACCTGATAGAAGTTTATAAAATTGTGGATAACATGAATACGGTGGAAAGTGTGAGGCTTTTTCGCAGGTTGGAGGGGTCAATTACTAGGGGACACAGGTTCAAGGTGCAAGGGAACGAGTTTTAAAAGCGACGTGTGAGACAAGTTTTTCGCACAAATGGTGGTGAGTGCCTGGAATGCATTGCAAGAGGAGGTGGTGGAAGCAGACACAATAGCAGCATTCAAAAAGCACCTGGACGAATACATGAATAGGAAGAGAATAGAAGGATCCAGATCCTGTAAAGGAAGACAGTTTTAGTATAGAGGGGGGAAAATTGTCGGCGCAGGCTTGGAGAGCTGAAGGACTTGTTCTTTGTTTTGTTCTGACAGATGGAAGAGGCTCGACGAGATTATAACCGGGGTGGGAAGCCTCTTTGATTATGTTGGCTGCCTTTCTGAGGCAGCGAGAAGTATAGATGGAATTGGTGGATGGGAGGTTGGCTTGTGTGATAGATTGGGCTGTGTTCACAACTTTCTGTAGTTTGTTATGGTGCTGAGCAGAGTACTTGCCATACCAAGCTATGAAGCATCTAGATAGAATACTTTCAATGTGTATCTCTAAAAATTGATAAGTCTTTATGGACATGCAGAATTTCCTTAACCTCCTGAGAAAGTAAAGGTTGTTTGTGCCTGGCTATGTTCCTCATAATT